AAAGTAAAGATCTTACATGAAATATAAATAAGTGACAATTAGGTAATATATTATACATATTAATGATTTAAATTATATAAATGATATATTATACACTCACCGGGCACTTTATTAGGTACACCTTACTAGTACCAGGATGGACGCCCTTTTGCCATTAGACCTTAATCCTTCGTGGCATAGATTTGGGGCATTGAACAGGGCACTAGAAATATTCCTCAGAGATTTTGGTTCATATTGACATAATTGCATCACACAGTTGCTGCAGATTTGTCAGCTGTACATCCAGGATTCAAATCTCCCATTCCACCACATCCCAAAAATGCTCTATTGGATTGAGCTCTGGTGACTGTGGTGCCCATTTGAGTACAGTGAACTCACTGTCTTGTTGAAGAAACCAGTCTGAGTAGATTCACACTTTAGGACATGATGCATTATCCTGCTAGAATTAGCCATCAGAAGAAAATATCCCCCACCCCATCACACCACAACCGCCAGCCTGAACCCTTGATAAGCAGGATGGATCCATGCTTTCTTCTTGTTTATGCTAAATTCTGACCCTACCATCCGAATGTCACAGCAGAAATTGAGCCTCATCAGATAAAATATTTTTTCATTCTTCTATTGTCCAATTTTATTGTCCAATTTTGGTGAGTCTGTGCGAATTGTAGCCTCATTTTCCTGTCTTAGCTGATAGGAGTGGCTCTTGGTGTGGTCTTCTGCTGCTGTAGCTTATCCACATCAAGGTTGTGCGTTCAGAGATGCTCTTCTGCATACCTCGGTTGTAACGAGGGATACTTTCTATCAGCTCAAACCAAGACAAAGACATCTGCGCCCACAGAACTGCAGCTCACCAGATAATTGCTGTTTTTTGGACTATTCTCTGTAAACCCTAGAGATGGTTGTGCATGAAAATCCCAGTAGATCCAGTTTCTGAAATACTCAGATCAGTTCGTCTAGCACCAACAACCATGCCACAATCAAAGTCACTAAAACCCCCTTTCTTTCCCATTCTGATACTCAGTTTGAACTGCAGCAGATCGTCTTGACCATGTCTACATGCCTAAATGCATTGAGTTGCTGCCATGTGATTGGCTGATTAGAAATTTGCGTTAACAGGCAGTTGGACAGATGTACCTAGTAAAGTGGCTGGTGAGTGTATATTATTAAAGCATTAACATGTCAAACATCGTGTTTTTAAAATAGTTGACCTTAAAATTATCTGGATTTAGCTAAATCAGAAGCTTGGTTTATATTATTGCATTAAGAAAAATCAGCATAACAATAACTTTTAAATTTTTTTTTTTAAAGATACATCTTTTTTTCAAGTATTATACAAACAAAACTACTCATTCAGTATTTCATAAATGTTCAATAATATAACAGACAAGGTCTCCATCTGATGAACTATTTCAGTCAGATTTGAAGGAGCTGACCAGTGCATTAGAAAGTGAATAAAAACCTCTTGACTGCAGCTCATAAGAAGGCCCGTCACACCTCCATAATGTTTCATATGAGAGTACATCTTTAATAAAATGCCAAAGCTGCTGCTGCTCTATTGTGTTCAAAGGTGAATGTGCTCCGAATGTGGCAGGAATCAAAGGGAAATTACGGATTAAGGACTTTCGTCTCCGGCCTGCCCTTGGAGCCCGGTGTGATTGTTCCTCCCTGCTGGGTTTTAAATAGAGCTGGAAATGTCTGCTTTCGCTCCATTTCTCACATCTCACCTACACGTCATTTAGTATGCAACACCCTCAGCCTCCGCCGCGTACGTTTGTGTGTGTTTTTGTGTATGCGAAACAGAGCGAAGTGGAATCAAAGTGCTGACTAATCACATGCGAGCAGTCAAATATGTTTGCCCTCACTAAAAATCGTTCATTCGAGACGCTACCTTTCCCTTTGAACCCTTCAAGCTTCCTTTATCTCTCCCTCCTTCATCCAGACCCACACTCAGTCTTTCACCTTCATGCATGCAGCGGACAGAGCGTTTCTATGTGCCTCTCTGGCAAATTGAGCCTGACTGTTGTCCCCACCCTGCATTTGGAGTGGAAGTTGATGGAAAGCTTTGATAGAATACACGGCCGCTGTCAAACGCCGCTCCTCTTACAGCTTCAGTCACCCGTGAGGAGGAATTTTTTTTCCAATGACAGATCAAGGGTATATTTCTACCGAGGTGGGTAACGAGAGCTCTTACTAAAGTGAAAGGGGCCATTGATAAATCTCAACCTGGGTCTGCTGTCACCCAACACCTTCAGCCTAATGAGAAAGCAGGTATTATGCCTGATATCCTGAAATCTAAAGGCCTAAATGTATGTGTACAAACAAGTTGTCTATATACTTGGAATAGTTTGTGATGCTTTAGTTAGTTGACTTGAATTTGTTGAACAATTGAATAGTTAAAAATTATATTATACTCTATATATAACGGGTAAAATAAGTATTGAACACATCATGATTTTTTCCTGGTAAATATATTTCTAAAAATGCTGTTGACATGAAATTGTAGCAAATTTTTGGTAAAAACTCAAACAAACGAAACAAAACAAAATAATTCAGAAAAACTTGTTATGTGTAATAACAATGGAATGACACAAGGAGAAAGTACTAAAATACTGAAATGTATTTCATATTTTGTATAAAAGGGTATTTTGGTGATGACCGCTTCAAGACACTTCTTGTATGGAGAATAAAGTATAAAAGTCTTTAGGATTCTGTGGGTTTTGTATATTAACTCTGATCTTTAGTTTTTATTTTCTATGGGATTCAAGTCATGTGATTGGCTGGGTCATTTTAGCAGCTTTATTTTCACAGTTGTGAAAACAGTAGTGAGTTTTGGCTGGGCTTTGGCTCATTGTCTTGCTGAAATGACCACCCTTGTTTCATCTTCATTCTCCTGGTAATGTAGGTGTTGGTACTGAAGTAGCTAATATTTCAACATAGGTTCATTCTGAACACGTAGCCCTATATACGTTTCCGGAGATCGTGAATTATGTAGCCAGAAGTTTGCATGGCTGCATTTTATTTTTAAAACAAATGCTTACAGCTGACCGCTAACCTATAAATGGACGGCTTTCCCAATGTTTTCAGTTTGTTAAATAGCTCGCCATGCACATTAATGGACTTGAGATGCAAAAAAGAGTTGACCATGACAACAGGGTTACAGTCCGGTTCCAGAAAGCAGGTAAGACAAAAACAAACAAAAACAGAATCCAAAAAATGAGCCAGAATGTGGTAAAATCTGAAAATGTGGTAAAAATCAGACGAGGGCTTTTCTTTTTCTGTATTGCTTTTTAAAATTGTGGGCTTAGAAGAGTCGGGGGAAAGGTCAATCTGTGCTTTTGGTATGATTGGTTGGGTTTAGGGAAAGAGGAGTGTGGGTCAGTCGATTGGTCAGTCATTCAGTCAGTCAAACAGTCAGTTGACAACGGCCTCTGGTGGATTCACACGAGAACAACAAGAACAAATGGTACTCGTGAGAGAAATCTGAGATCTCAAAAAGCGTACACAGCGGCCTCTGGTGGATTAGCAAAAACAAAAACTGCATAAAAACGAAGCTCCTGGGGCATATTTTGCTCTCTTCAGAAATGTAAATAGAGGCACGTTTTCAGAATAAGCATGGGTTGCAATATTTATTTACAATGACAAGGGGCAGAGAGTTGCTGAATAACTACTGAGAGATTCAGCTGCTGTCTTGGCTTTCCATGCCCTTTTACACCTTCCCTTTATGTGTTCAACACTTTACCTTGTGGAATTAAATTTTTTTACACAACAGTTCATGTCTAAACTAGTTAGTTTTGTTTATGTATAGAATGCTTTGGCACTGACAACTGGTAAAAAAGTCAACAGCATCTATCTATTCTGTTATTCTTCTAAAGAATAATATTTAATTTTAATTACATGCATTGCTTTGCTGTAAAAAGTTTTGTAATATACTAATAAGTCCTGCCAACTGTGATATACTAATGCATCCAATTACAAATCATTAAAAATAATTAAATGTAAACAACACCAATACATTACTGAAACATAACATAATTGATGTAATCATACAAGCATCTACAAATGCGTAAGTGCACTTGTGACCCTGGTAGGGGGTCGTTTTTATTCTAACACCTTATCCAGATTTCAGGAAACAATATTTTTACTTGTCATATGCATATTGTTGTGTTTAGCACTTCTGAGTTTATCCACTTCAGTGCATCTCTGCAACAGCCATACACATTTATACTGGTGTTTTGCATCCTGTTGTCTCACCATGAGCATTGTGTCTTTAAGAAAGCGTGTCAAGTTAAAAATAGTCAAACCCTTCAAAACCCCTGCAATCTGTTCCATTCTGTTGCTGTCTACTGTTTTTCAACCCAAGAGTGCACCTTATGCTCCAATTATACATTGACGCATATGCATATCTACACAGGATCATCTGGGTAACTAAAACAAGAATAAATATTCAAACATTCTGTAAATGTAAGACAATTATGACAAGCTTAAAATGGCTTTTAATGGCATTTGGCCATTAAAATGGCATTTAATCTATAAAAAGTATTTATTTATTTATTTATTTATTTTATAAATATTTCTTAAATTAAGTACAGGAGCTTATTACTTGCTTACTAGTGCTTATTTTTTAGTTACTAGTACAGTTTAAAAACATACTAATACTTATTAATTAGTTATTTATTAGATACAAGCACTCACTCAGATATTTATTCTACATATTTTTGTACTTCTTAATTACATATTTGTACCTATTATATAGATACTAACTATTCTGTTGTTATTAGTAACAGATTTTGAATATTTGGCAATGTGTTTTATGGGGACCTGTCATTGACATATCAGCTATTCATTTTTGACTAGTACTGTACGTATTTCATTAGTAGGAATAACAATAGATACTAGTATTAAAGATTAAATATTTAAACAGCGAGCTGAACTATGTATGATGACTACCTTGATATGAATTGTGAAAGCTGTTTGAGAACAAATTAAAACATGGGACTCACAACTCAGTTTTGTAGCTGGAGCATCTCGCTAGAGGGATCTTGAGCACTTTGTCATTCAGGCCCACAAAAAGAGTCCGGTCGCCATGGAGAATCTGAAGGCTCAGGATTGGCTGCTGCAATCCAGGAGGGAAGAGCTGCATCTCCTCCAAGTAGCAACCTTGCAGGCTCTTATTTGTGGTTGCCAGCGCCTTCAGAATAGTCCCATACTCTGTTAAGTCAAAACAGAAGGCAAAGCATAATTAATCATGATTGCATAAATAATAGCATTTATTTAAGGATTTGGTGGTAAAAACAAATTGCAGGCATATGATTTACATGTGTTTCTTTGTTTTGTTTTTACAAAAAGGAAAACACAAAACAGAAGTAATAAAAGAGCCCCTATTATGGGTTTTTGAAATAACCATCAATGCAGTGTGTAACACAACTCTATGTGAAGTGAAATATCCAGCTAAGGCTTAAATCTGAAAGCGCAATGCTTTAAAACTATTGATTCATCTATAAAAGAGTCAACAGAGTGGTTCAAATGAACCGTTGGGGTAACGAATCTTTAGTCGTGTCGGCGTGATGGTGATGCAGAACTCAAGCCCAGCCCATTTGTTGCGTGTGCAGACCCGAGACAGTTTAAACCCCGCCCACAAACACTGTAGAAAGCAAAAGACACTGTGCTCTGAAGTGTGAGGGAGAAAGTTAGTGTTATTTTCCCTACCCAAAGATGAAATTGTGAAGAGTTAATGATTGAGGTTTATTTTTGCAAAAATACCTCAGCATTATAGCCCCAGCCTTGTGCAATCTACATGCTTATAACGAGTGATTCATCGGTCATTTGTTAAAGGAAGGATCAGAAAAGACTATTGATGTATGGGACTTTGTCAGAGCTTGACAGAAACTTTACAGTACACAGTTCATGGATCAGTTCCTTCCTCCATTTCACAAGTGAAAGTACACAAGCTTGCAAATTATGTATTTAATTTTGTTTTGTTTCTTGTAACCATTCCACGCGGCTTGTACTGTATCTGGGTAACTCTTTAAATTGTTATATTGCGTCAAAAACCACATTCAAAATGTGCCGTGTAACGATTTGTTCATGGATTTAAATGTGGTTGTGCTCACACATACACTCTGCACTGACTACTTAAGAATTGTTGATAAGTGGTGGTGGGCAATTCTCACTGTCTCGTGCTGAACGCTGTCAACCAAACGCAACAATAACAATCAGCATAGATTAGCATCACGCTAAGGAGGGCTTTGGGAACAAATGAATCGCTGAATGGATCATATGGGAGTCGCTGGGATAATTAGGTAAAATAATGCATGTTATATGAGAATGAAAGTGTTTTTTGACCATGCATGCATATCAGACTGTTATCGGAGACCCCTTAACCAAAACATGACTATTTTAATGCATCATAAAGACTCTTTAAGTTTAAATGAATAGTTCGCCCAAAAATGAAACGTTTTGTCATCATTTACTCAGCCTTCAATTGTTCAAAATTGTTGAAAAAAATTTGAGTTTTCAAAAGAACACAAAAGAAGATCAGTTCAGAGATTTAACTTGTTTATGTCAAGAGTTCAACAATCACATGGAAATGACACTGTGAAAGTAAACATTCACGCAAACTATTTAATTAAGGTGTAAATAGATATAAGAATTAGTTTTAATTGTATTGTTCAAAGTATCTGTTTCATGCTGCGTTTTAGTTAAGCAAATATCATATAGATTGAAATGGGGAAAACATCACTAAATCATTTTATGAATGTTGAAAATATGCATTGTGTGTTATTTTAAGTTTGTTCTTCCAAAGTAAATTGGCAAGATTGGTCTGCATGAGAATACATTATTGGAATTGATAAAGAATCAATAGATAGGTTTCCATCCAAAAATGCGAATTAACTTAATGCGCAAATCTGGAATATCACATAAAAAAACATGCGAAAAAGCAGAGTTTCCATGCAACAAGTCAAAGCCATCAAAATGGTGACTTATGAATTAATTGTTGGCAAATATCAACGGTAAAAATCTTTGATCTTTTCTTATCGAATAAAAAGTTTATCCTTATAAGCTGAGCATCTTGGCATTTCCATCAACCATTTTCAATATGCGCATCAAAATAGGTAGATGGAAACGTATCTACTGACTTCCAAAGTATTTTGTTTTCCCACAAAGGAAGTCGATAGGTCCTAGCAACTAGCATTCTTCAAAATAACTTCTTTTGTGTTCAACAGAAGAAAGAAACTCATAAAGGTTTAAAACCACATGAGGTAGAGTAAATGATGAGGTCATTTTCAATTCTGGGTGAACTAACCCTTTAACTTTAGACTTCTGAAGGCCTACCTGTGCCTATGTACATGACATGATGCAATGAGTCCTGCCCCTGTACAATGTCAACAACCAACTTAGAGAAGCGGACGTCATCCTGCCAGACCAGTGGATCCACAGAAACTGGCTGAACCACATCGTTCATGAGGAAGAGCCGCTGGGCGTCCTGCAGACTGCGTTCGGTAAGTCTTTCATTAGGCCCTTCTTCATCTATGGTCCCACACTGGTGAGAGTCATAAGGGTCAGACTCATTAATTAGTGAAGAGGTCAAGCAGGACAGTGAATATATATCCACAAATAAAAAAGTAACTTCTCACCATGTCATTTTATATAAGAAAGTAGACAGTAACTGTGAATTACGATGCATGCAGGTACACCCAGCTGGTATTGAGCAATTACTCTCACAGTGCCAGGCTGATAGAATTTATCTATCGGCTGTTTGTTCCAGACACACACACAGAGAACAAAATGTAAAAGCGATACAAGGGGAATGATGCACCTGGAAGTTGGGGATGGGGTTGGGGGTGGGCAGCCACGTGGAGCGAGGGTTCTCCTGGGAGCGGAAGGGCCCGTTGAAAGCCTGTGTGATTGCGCTGAGGTTGTACGCGCAAACTGCAGAGGCAGCAATGCTGTTCCTGCATCACAAGAAAGGAAGAAAATAAACTATTAGCACACAAAAAACATAAAATGCTGTAATGTACAGTGCATCACATATACATATCGGTGGCCCTTTATATCATTTAAATACAATGGAGATCAAAATTTGTGAATAATCCACTATTTATTACATTTAAAGGTCACTCAAGTTATCCTAACAACAGTAAAAGAGGCCTTTTTAAACAGCTTAATTCATAAATTATACATTCTGAAGCACAGTATAAACCCTTCGATGAAATATTTGAAAAAGAAGACTGAGCAAAAGTATGCCAGTAAGTTCTTCTTACTGGCAGCTTAACTGTCCAGTTTTTACTGCCTTTGCAACATGGTCATTCAAAAGTGGCCAAAGGGACAACTCTTTCAGCCACACCAACACACCATCAAAATAAAATGTGACCTCTTTCATTTTTAGAATACTTTATCTTTGCAAATTCACAACTTCTCTAAAAAGATGGCCATTTATAAAGGAAAAAAGTAACACTTTATTTTTATCGTCAATTTGAGTATTAGTAGACTGTCTGCTTAATATCTGCTGATACTGCTCCTTCAACTGACATTTAACTGACTATAAGAAATTTTGCAACATGTCAACTTACACTAACCCTAACCCCAACCCTAATAGTCTACTTATAATCTAATGAGAATTAGTTGCATGTAGATGCAATGTAACTTAAATTCAAGAAACGGACCATCAAAATAAAGAGTGACCAAGAAAAAATACATAAGATGATAACAAGGAAAATCTCAAATTCAGTCAGAATTGCTTGCATGTTCAACGCTGAACATGGTATAAACATTTGTCTCAGCACATAGTTGCCCCTATCATAAACCCAGCACAATAAGGCACAAGACGTGTTTGGCGCATATTGTTGTTATTTTCGGACAAGTGCAAACCTAATTTTCACGTTTTGCACTATGTTGTTTAAATAGCAAATCCATTTGTGTCACTTTGTGGACTCAGGGGTGTGCCAGTCTATAAAGGAGGTGTGTTGGCATGTTGCTATTTTGAGGAACTGAATCAGACTGTACCAATGACCATCTAAAACCTGGCCTAAAGTCCAGTGCAGAGCGCGTTAGTTGTGCACCTTAAACGCGTTAATAAACACAGGATGTACAGCAATACTCAAATATATTTAAAAATTTTACAAAATTTAATTATTAAAATGTTACAAAATTATTATTTTTTACACAAATAAAAAAAACCACTGCCTCCATACCTTCTTCAACGTGCTGTTTTTGTTTGTTTGATTGTTTATTCATGACAATTTTTATTTTTATGATGTTATTATTATTAACAGTATTATTTATTATATGCATATTTATATTTATTTTAATATAAACAAGCTTAGATTTATCCACCTTTTGGGTTTTGGAGAGATGTGCATCACCATATGGGTCACATAGGACGTGTGTTTAGAAACAACTCATTTTTTTGACCACACTTCATTATAACTGTTCATTTATTCATTTGCTGGAAATTGAAATTGAATTTAGACATAGTTTTGAAACAAATCTTTGCACTTAACAAACGAAATTAAACATGTAAACTAATAGACGCCTTCAGTGGAGTGTATACAACACTGCTTCCTTTTCCATGAAAGTAAAGGAGTAAATAGTAAAAATAAAGTAAAGAGAAAGTAAAGAGTTTTTCCACTAGTGAAGCATTCAGTTTTTCCACTTAAAGTTTGCCATGTAAAAACCATTGCGTGATGCTACTCCTCTTAAAGGGGATGTGAGGTGAGCCTCTCATTGGTTTAATACATGTTATGTTCAAAACACACCCATAACTCATTAAGAGAATAAGCACAACCCTGCTAGACTATATATGCAAGAGTGCAAAGAGTATTTTTTCATCTTTAAAATAGCAAAAGTGGATTCGGGCATGCCCTTAATACTTATGTGCCATGCACGTTAGACTTTGCGCCTAGATCAATAAAATAAAGCCCAGTATCTCAATGTTAAAGAGAAATTGGACTGACCAAGTGAAAGGTGGAGGAGGAAGTTTTCATAGGTTTTCTCTATTTTACAGCTACAGTACATGACAGTGTGAATGTAAATCTTAATCAGAAGCCCTCCGCAACATACAATTCCTTCCCTGCATCCATCACCCAATCAGTAAGCAATTTTCATGCAGTGAATGTTTCATTCTAATTTTATTGTAATTTTTGTGTCTACACACAGAGTTGATAGGCCACTATACTTCACATATATTACCAACACTCTATTGTAAAATGATCTTTTAAGGGCTCCTGATGCAGTTATATCATCTACATCTACAAACACAGAAGCAAGTTCATAATCGTTTCAGCCAGGCAGATCTTGGCAGTTTCTTCTGGCATGAAATATTCTCAAAAGCATTGTGACTTAATTAACTCCATCGATTTGAATGACAGGTGGCCCAGAGACCCGAGTAAGCTGTCAGGAGCAGAGATGAGCTCCGCAGTCGATGGATTGTGTGGTTATTCCTGTTACCAGACTCACTGAATTTTGTAGAGATGACAGTGCAGTTTCAGGAGCTGTTCAAATGACAAAGAAAGGACAGAGTTTTGTCTTGTTATACTGTGAAATGTCCCCTGAGCATTCAGTATGTCCACAGGAAGAGATTGAAGGGGTTCCAGGGGCCCCTACTGACCAGCAAGGAGGTGTGTGTGTGTGTGTGTGTGTGTGTACATATTTTGAGTTTTACAAAGAATGGTAAAAAAAAATGAAATGTAAATCCAATGAAAATGGCTTAATGATGCCAGAGGTCGTATGTGAATGGCCAGAGTGGTTTGAGGTGATAGAATGGAAAAAGAAACTCAAAAAATTGCTCCTTACAGCGTAGATATATAAAACAGCATCCCTGAATGCACATCATGTCCTTAACCTTGAAGCAGATGAGCTACATTAGAGAAGTGACAGTGACATTCTTGTCAGATAACTGAACAAATACAGAAGCTTCGATTCACACAGGCTCACCAAAACTGGACAATAAAAGATTGGAAAGGGGTCTGATCTGTCGTGCCTAATTTTCTGCTGCAACATTTGAATGGCAGGGTCAGAACCTCTTGTAAGTGATATACTGTATATATTCATTCTTGTATCAGTGGTTCAGACTAATGGTGGTGTAATGGTGTGGAGGTTATTTTCTTGGTATGCTTCATCATCTCAAATTTGTTTCCTGAATAGTATAGTGTGTTTGTCACTCAAATGACCTCTACATTCTCTATCTCATCTCAGTAGAGCTCCTTAGTAAATTGGTGGAATGAGAGATTCATATCATGCATGTACAGCCAACAAATCTGCAACAACTATGTGATGCTATCAGGTCAACATCTCAAAGGAATATTTCCAGTACATTGTTGAATCTATTCCATAAATATTTAAGACAGGTCTAAAGGCAAAAGAATGTCCATCTCAGTACCACCAATGTGAATCTAATAGTGTTTGACGAGTCTAACAAGTCTCATAGGCTTCACCATTGGAGGTAAACAGGTGATTTTGAAGGGTGCAGTGGTGTAGAGTAATAAATAAAAAAACTCAAACTACTGTAATTAACTAGTTTTTTTTTCAGAAATTTTTATTTAGTAGTTATAAAAATGTGCAATTTTACTTTTCCTTGAGTAGATTTTTAGTGCTGTCTCTGTACTTTTACTCCACAACTTTGCTTCAACCTGCATACAATACGTTATTTTTTTTATGTCTATGAGGATTAGAAAAAATTGTCCCGTTATTCCTGTCCAATCAAATCGCACATAGAAGGTAAATTACATCATAATGAACAACCTCAACACATGAGTGATTTATAATTGCAGCAAACTGTTTGGATGCATTAAAAGTGTCCAAGAAGATGTCCAGAATCTTTACATGCAATGACCCAGAGACCCATGCAGAGTTTAGATGCATGTCACTGATGAGAAGATGACAGATATTTACTGTACAATGACTGAAATGGCCTTATACAACCAGAAGGCACAGGATGTCAACATGACGTTATGCCCCAACGTTGTGGGGACATTGCATTTTGTTTGGAAAAGATAATCAGGTTGACGTCAGAACCCAACGTCAGTCTGACGTCAATGTCCAATGTTCAACCTAAAATCAACCAAATATTAACGTCAAATGATGTAACAGCTTGACGTTGTGTGAATGTTACCACTGTCAAGTCTATCAGATGTTGGATTTTGGTTGTCAGTATTTGACGTGAATATAACTTTGGTTTAAGATGTTGGCTCAATGTTGGATTTTGGTCACTTTTTAATAAAACCTAAATTCAACCAAATATCAACACCATTTGGCATCATGGACGTCAAAATAACGTTGTCCTTAGACGCTGGCTAGACAATGATTTTTAATCACCTGACATCACAACCTAAATCTAATCTAATATTAACGCTTTATGACGTTGTGTGCCTGCAAAGCAATAACTAAATTCACCACAGAATGTTACGTTTACACACATTCACAAATTACATGTAAATGCATCAGCTTTTTACAGCGTAATACTCACTACTCTTGAGTACTTTTGAAAGGTCTACTTTTTACTCATACTTTAAGTAATATTCACAACAGATACTTTTAGATGCACTACATTTTTAGGCAAATAATTTTACTTTCATTTACCTATTATTTTTCAGTATTCTTTCTACCACTGGAAAGGTGCATTGCTATTCAGATGGTATGTTACAGGCTACGCAGATTCAAAGAAAATAGCATGGGGCGCATGAAATTGGGAAGTTTTTCTTGTTAGCAGATTCATTCTTGAGGGCTGTTAAGACAGCACATAAATGAGCAGCACCAACAGTGGCTGTAACACCGGAGCCACAGACAGATGGACCCATGGGCAAAGCTCCAGGAGCGGGACTCGGCCTGCCAGACGCTGGTGTCTGGCTCGGGCTCTTGTTATGTGGCCTGGTGAGGCATGGACTTGAAGAGGATTCAAGCCTGGTTCTGCAGCTCGACTCTGGGGACTGCATATGAGGGGTTCAACATGGAAAGT